TCTGGTCTGAGTCGTTTGTATTCACTTGCAGGAATGCGGAAACATCTTTTCAACACCTTGCTGCTCTTCCTCGTCCTTCTTCCCACATGCCGATCGTACCTCGGCATCTTCATGCTGCCTCCTCGCTCAGGCGCTTCTTGTCTTGGAGCTCAACCACATGCTCGTCGTCCGGGCGGCGTCTCATTGAGGTCGGGTAAGGAGGAAGACCAAGTCTCGTCGAGCTTCTTGGAGCAGACGTTCGCTCATCGTTTCGTGGGTCAGCAGGAGCCTCTCGAGGTCTCGTGATTCATGCTTGCTCCTGCCAGGTCCCAAGGCCAGCGAGACTGCCAGGGACAGCAGGCAGTACGAGAAGTTGGGGAGGCGAGTAGGACATGCTGCGACTACCAAATCTCACCCCATCCCAGGAGCTCATGGCAGCTACAGCACAAGGAGATGCGGCGCTAGTTCGTGAGCTCTGCATTGAGGTCGTGAGGAGGAGGAGGAGGGAGGAGGGATGATGATGATGATGATGGAGGAGGGAAGAGGAGGAGGGAGGAGGGAAGAGGAGGATGGAGGAGGAGGAGGAGGAGATGTGAGATGGGAAGGCAGGGGAGGAACGGACATGTCGCGGATCCTGCGTACATCGATGAGTTTGGGTTCAGGCAAGGGGAGGGAGAGGGGAGAAGCTCGCTGAGCCCTCGCAGTTGCCTGCAGTTGGCCGGGAAGAAAGGCTTCTATGATGTGATCGTTGAGCTGCTGAATGCTGGCGCCGACATCAACTTGCAAGGAGAAGGTGAGAGAAGAGAAACGACGGCAATGCATCTCACTATACGACATACATTACGTGAAAACACGGCACCCTTGCTCCATCTGAGAACAGCTAACGTTCACATCATCTGAGAACAGCTAACTTTCACATCATCTGAGAACAGCTAACGTTCACATCATCTGAGAGCAGCTAACGTTCACATCATCTGAGAGCAGCTAACGTTCACATCATCTGAGAACAGCTAACGTTCACATCATCTGAGAACAGCTAACGTTCACATCATCTGAGAACAAGAAACTCTCTCATGATCTCGCAACAACACACAATCTTATTCACGGCGTGAGCTCCTCTTGATGTTATCGATTTGTACAAACATTTTGCATCAATTGAGAACATTTTTGTAAGGTGGGACAACAGCACTTCATATGGCAGCACAGGTGATAATAAAACCTTTACTCTAACTCTTGCGCCAACTGAAATGCGGGAGCCAGTACGGGCATCTGGAACTTGTGAAGATGTTGCTGCAGGTGAAGTTATAGATGATATTATGTGATGAACATGTAATGAGATGAGATGAGACGAGAATGGTATGGTATGGTATGAGATGGTATGGTATGGTATGAGATGAGATGGTATGAGATGAGATGGTATGAGATGGTATGGTATGGTATGGTATAAGATGAGATGAGATGGTATGAGATGAGATGGTATGAGATGAGATGGTATGAGATGAGATGAAGGTTTATTCCAATCTGTTGTCATCTCATTCGCTTCACCAGGACGGGGCAGATGCGCAGGTGAAAGATTTCTCTGGCAGGTAGGAGGGACGCCAGCAACTTTCAACTTGACTCGTCGGCAGTACTCCCATGCTGCTCGCGCAGACTTTCGGACAGAAGGAGACAGAGAGCTTTCTGCGGAGTTACAAACCGCCAGTGTACGATCAAGGTAGGAGAGCAAGAAGAGATACAAGTTGTAACATGACGTGTAGGTGATGATGATCTCGATGACGTGTTTGTTGTCTCGAACGATGAAATCCCGTCCAAGATTGAACCCAAGGACAAGCTGAAGCCTTCGCAAGACATGCAAGATGAGCTTGAAAATTTCTTCAAGACGTGAGGGGATGAGATGAGAAAAATAGTTGTTCTTGCTCTCACCTACAGATCCGTTCTTAGACAACACCCGGACTTGTTAAACTTTTAGCTTATTATTATTAAATTACAACCCTCTCACTCCAGATAAACGCTTCACTTTACATTCTCACCAGCTTCCTTCTGAACCTTTGCTCTACTCCCGCTCCTCCTGTACCCTCCCTCTCCCTCTCCCTCTCCCTCTCCCTCTCCCTCTCCCTCTCCCTCTCCCTCTCCCTCTCCCTCTCCCTCTCCCTCTCCCTCTCCCTCTCCCTCTCCCCGTCTTCCTTGGTGACCCCCTCAAAATTCTCCCCCAGCAGCGACGTGACAACCTGCTCTACGGGGGGGCCATGCCTCCTCCTCCTCCAGAAGCATTTGGAGCCCGGCGACAGCTGAGACTTCTTGTCCCTCCTGCCCCTCTGTCTCAGGGGAAGGAAACGCGAGAGAAAGCGGGGGAAGAGAAGTTTGTGTGTGAGAGGAAGGGACTTGTGGGGTGAGTGGCAGGAAGGAGAGGGAAGGGAGAGCAGGAAGAAGGAGGCTTGAAGAACAGGGATAGGAACAGCAAAGCTGAAATGGTGGTGGTGGTTGTGGTGGTGGTAATGATGATGATGATGATGATGAGGAGGAGGAGGAGGAGAAAGGAGATGATGATGATGATGATGATGAGGAGGAGGAGGAGGAGAAAGGAGATGATGATGATGATGATGATGATGATGATGATGATGATGATGATGATGATGAGGAGGAGGAGGAGGAGGAGGAGAAGGAGATGATGATGATGATGAGGAGGAGGCGGAGAAAGGAGATGATGATGATGATGAGGAGGAGGAGGAAGAGGAGGAGAAAGGAGATGAGGATGAAGGAAGGAGGAGGAGGAGGAGAAAGGAGATGATGATGATGATGATGATGATGATGAGGAGGAGGAGGAGGAGAAAGGAGATGAGGATGAAGGAAGGAGCACAACGAGGGGAGAAGTCAACCTGTCGCTCTTGACCAAGGCGCCGAGATCATGGACAATCGTGTCGATGGGAGGAAAAACTTGCGAGTCGATTTTGCTGTAGCGAGAATGAGGATGAAGAGAGGAGAGGAGGAAGAGAGAGTGTAGGCAGAGAAGAGGATCTGATGGTACAGAGAGGAGGACCTGAAGATTGTGACAGCCTCCAGCTTTCCGTCAGGTTTTGTCCAGTTGGCAGAGATCTAGAAGGATGAGTGAGATGATAGAAAACAATGCAGGGAGAGAGGAGAGGAGAGGAGAGGAGAGGAGAGGAGAGGAGAGGAGAGGAGAGGAGAGGAGAGGAGAGGAGGGGGGAGGAGGGGGGAGGAGAGGAGGGGAGAGGAGAGGAGGGGAGGGGAGAGGAGAGGAGAGGAGAGGAGAGGAGAGGAGAGGAGAGGAGAGGAGAGAGAAGGGGAGGGGAAGGGAGGGGAGAGAGATTCAACAGAAGGAGATAGGCAAGCCAACCTCGAAGGAGCCAATACGAGGTTGAGAGCTGTAAATCAGGAGCTCGGGAACGTTCTGAGATGAACGTCAACGAGGAGAAGGAGGAGGTTGAGGAGGGAAGGGACGAGAGAAGGGAAGGCACCTTGACGATTTTCAGAGTCGAGAGTTCGGGTTCTTGTTTCATGGCTTCAGCAAAACGCCGAAAACAACTTACAAGGAAAGTCATTGAAAGAGGCAATCCATGATCGGAAGGAATGATGACTCTCACGAAGAAGATGACAATGATAGTAATGAATGACATCAAGGCAATGAAAATGGAGAAACGAGAGGTGGAGATTGTCCTATCTCACCCTTCGTATTTCTCTGGATCATGTCTTGTGTTGAGATTTTGTTGAGCATATCTGAACGAATAATATCAGTCGAGAAGAGCAAAGAGATAAGAGGAGGAGGAGGCTATTTTGTTGCGAGAAGGAATTACCTCATTTCAACATGCAAGCAAAACGAAAACTGTCCGTTCCAGAGAGAGACCTGTATTCCTCCTCTCCTCATCTTCTTGCTCAGTTGCTCTACCGCCTGCTTCACGTTCTTCACCGCCTGCTCTTGCTTTTCCTGTACGTTTCGCTTCTTCCTCTGCCTCTGCCTAACTTCCTCCTCCTCCCTTGTGCTCCTGGTGGTGATTCGTCTGCTGCTGTTCAAGCTCGTGTTCGTAGAAATGCTGATTCTGGCTCCAGATCGAACCTGATACCGGGGATGAGAAGAGGAGAAAAAGTGACAGTGCAAGAGCAGAGCAGAGCAGAGCAGAGCAGAGCAGAGCAGAGCAGAGCAGAGCAGAGCAGAGCAGAGCACGAGAAATCAGTTGGAGGAGTGGAGGGTCAGATCACTGCATGGTATTGTCTTGACACCTTTCTGATGTTTCTCAATGTCCAGTCGCCTTGCTCGCCTCTTGTTTGACGAACAAGTTCTTCAAAGCTCTTGTCGAGGTCAAAGGGAGGAACTCTAGCAGGTATCCTCAAAGAATCTCCTCCTCCGCTTCCCATTCCTCCTCTTGCATCTCCCCATGCCCTGACCAGTCCTGCTCCTGCTCCTGCTCCTCCAACGTAGACTCTAGAGTTCAAAGTTTCTGGTCCCGCTGAAATCCTTCTGCCCAACATGGATCGATGAGCGCTGGATTCAGACTCTTCCACCTGCTCCCCAGCTGCGCGATGATCACCCGGCCAGGTGGCCCCCCATCTCCTCTCAGAGCTGTCCAGCTCCTCCTCCCCATGCAAGGTCGCGACCTGACAGAAGTCGGAATAGAAGCTTCCATCACAAGTTCCTCCTCCTCCTCCTCCTCCTCCTCTCGACCCCTGCCGTGTGCATTACAATCGTGCAAATGAAATGCAGGACGAACCTGTTGCGACGACTCCTGCGGGCGAAGCAGATCAGAAGCGATGGTGCTCATGGAGGTCAAGGAGGAAGCAGGAATCTTCCCTACTCTCTCGCTCTCAATCTCGATAGAGGGCGGAGGTCTCTCTTCTTGTACAAGCTTCTCAGCCTCCAGCCGCGTTTCCTCCCCCTGGATCGTCTGCTCCGATTTCTTTTCTTCTCGCATTTCTTCCTCGTTCACGGAGCATTCAATGCAAGGAAGCTGTTCTCCTCTCCCTGCAAGCAGATGCCTGCCGCTGCTCTGCCGGGTTTGATCAAGATGAGGAAGAAGCTTGTCCGGGGAGGAGGAGGGGGAGAACGAGGGAGCAGGAGAGGATCCAATCGCCTTTGATGGAGTGTTCACGTCGTCTGACAGGCTTGAGGCATCTTGCATGCTAACGCCAAACTTGGAGAATATGCTCGAGAGACTCGAAGAAAATTCGACGTGCTCCTCCTCCTCCTCCTCCTCCTCCTTGCTCGCAGTCGCTAGCACTACCTCGTCTCTGCGCACCACCTTTTGGACTTGCTCGTGCTGCTCACTCTCCTTTCGTTTCTTTCCCTCCTCTCCTCTTGTTTCTTCCCTCATATCCTCCTGCATGAAGGAAGAAGGCAGCATCTGGAAGTTCTCCACGGAGGATTCGTAAGAGTCAAACTCACTGATGCACCGGGAGCTCGCGACTTCGTCCAACGAAAAATCGCTTTCATGCTCCTCCTGCTCCTCCTGCTCCTCCTTCCCGACTTTGACGCATCTCTTCCCTGCTCTACTGTTAGCGTCCTCATCGTCAGCCTCCTCCTCCACCTGCAGCCTCCACTGTGCTGGATGTAGAAGCCTGAGAGCTTCCGTTGGGCGAAGGGAGACTTGACTCAAGCGAGGGCTTGCGGAGAATGTTCTCTTGTGTATCTTCCCCTCCTCTCGCTCCCTCCAGCTCTGCATGCCAGGCATATCCTCTGTCTGCTGCCGTCTTCGCTGCCTGCTAGCTGGTAAGAAGGTGGGAGCAGAGAGGATGACTGAGCTCACCGTCCTACCCTTCTTGTCGAGCAGCAGGGGATCGAGCCCGAGCTGCATCAGATGCTTGGCAAGCGCTCGCTGACCATGACGAGCAGCAACATGAAGCAGAGACTTCCCCTCCTCATTCCGAACCTCAAGATCCACCTCCTTGTTCGCGATCGCTTTGCTCAGCTTAAAAAACGTCATCATATGGTGGTGGTGGTGGTGAGGAGGAGGAGGAGGAGGAAGAGAAATGGTAGCAGAGATCAAAGATGGTCAAATACAAGGTAGCATGCACAGCTTTGTCGCACCTTCTCTATTTTCCCTGTGCGGGCCCACTTGAAATAAGTTTTGTGATCAACAGAGGATCGTGAGGACAGAGCAACGTCGCTAGACCGATCGCTTCCGCTACCCAGCGGCCTCAGCTTGATCTTCTCCCGAGGCTTTCCCACTTCCTCTGATTTCTTTCCTCCTCTATCCTCAGCGTGTCTCGTGCCCCCAACCTGGAAGTTTTATCAAACTTTTTCGCTCCTTCATCCTCTCCAATACCTGGTTAATTTCACCATAACCTTTTCCCCATCCAGCCCTCGTTCTCAATGGAATCGTCGATGGCGCTGGAGGTTGCGGTTTGTCTGTGCAATAGTGAATTGTCTGCAGCCACAAGCTTCTCCCTCAATCTATCGCCTTCGCTTCCCTCTCGTCCTCCTTTCTCCCGCAACCCCCCCCCCGCCCCTTACCTGTTCTATCAAGCCCGAGCTGTAGGAAGGCGGGAGGATTGAGGAATGCATTTTGCGACGAAGACGAGGAGGTCAACTTGTTATTCTTGTTTCCTAGGAAACTGTTCTGAAGGAAGGAAGGAACCTCGACCTGAATAATCGAATTGTCACACAAGTTGCCATGTGATTTCAATCATCAGCCTGCAGGTTCACAGCTTTCTTCGGTTCCAGCCCCATTGCCGCCATCTCACTCTTCTCTTTCCGACTCTGCGTCACTTGAATGTCAGACAGACGAGCTCCAGTGCGAGGGAGCATCCGCACCCTTCCAAAGAGCTGGTGATCCCTTCACGTGCAACAAGTCACACGACAAGGAGAGCAGGCAGCAGAAGCCTCACCTTGGCGCCAATTGTCTTGAGTTTGCATCAGATTCATCAGAGTCCTGTTTTCAAGCATCATGAGAGATGTGACTTCAGATGTCACTCAAACACCTCAAAGACGGTTGCCAATCCCAGCCGATTCATCTTCCACCTCACCTAGCCCGTCTGATGAGGTTGCAGCAGGTGGCGCTGGCATTGATCAGCATGATACTGCTCGTATTTGAATGCATTGAAGCATCTCATAGCATGCCGATCAATCAATCTACATGCTCTGGGCCGCCTGAGGTATCGAAATGCTCAGCAACGTGACAAAAAGGAAAAGATTGCAGGTCAAATCCCAGGCAAGAAGAATGTTCACATCGATTAAAAACAATGCATCATATAAGTGAATCCACCAGGACAAAGCGATAAAGGTAGCGCGAAAACACTATTGCCACAACAGTACATTTCCCGAACAATATGAAAATATCACCTAAGACAAATGAACGAGGAAAGGGGGAAAACCAGCAAAGAGGCAGAACAATGACGCAGACAACTAGGCGAGGAGGAAAAATCAGAGACAGGAACGAAATGGAGAAGGACATTGAGGAGGGCGAGCAGAGGAAGGAGAGTGTGAGGGAGGAGAACGAATGACAACACATTTGGATCAGGTATTGTGAGAGGAACGAGGAACGAGGAGGAGGAGCTGGGGCAGAAGGGAGGAATCAAAAGTTGTCTGTTTGTCATAAAAAGAGGATCAGGAAGACGAGGAGGAGGAAGGGAAGAAGGGGAGCGGAAGCAGCTGACTCAAGCTAACAGTGCATCGATTCTGAACGCCCGCAGATAATCGCATTCGCAGCGTAGGGGTACTCGTAGATTTTGAAATTATTTCGACACTTCAAAAAATATTATGGAATTTAATTGATACCTTTGAAATATTGAGGGCTTGCACAGAAAAGTGAGGGCTCCTACGAAGGTTAACTGAAACTGAGTTTCAGTTATGGTGTCAGTAACTGTCAAAACAAAGAAATAACGGCTGAAAGAGTAGTGGTGAAGCTGCGAAGGCTTTTAGCCGAATGGCCAATTAGGTGTTAAGGTAGATGAGACAGAGGAAGGTGATGAGAGAAAGGTAAGGAGGGAGAATGTTTGGGGATGAGCGAAGTTCATGAACGGGAGGGGAGAAATCACAATCACAACTACCATAATCTCTGCACCTTTCATTTTTATTTGTGATGCTGTGAGTTGTGTGGCTAATATGTAGTCTCTGTGACGTTGTCAGAGACAACGTACCACAATATTGAATAGTCCACTGTAACTCATGTTTTGCATTGATTGTCAGATTTTAGATTTCAAGTGTAGTCACGGTCACCAAAGCTTCCCCGATATTGCTCCTTCGACCCATCTACCACTGTTGTGCGAAACCAGGCAGAAAGGGTTTAATGTTTGCTGTTAAGTCTTAAGAAGCTTGACAAGAACCTGTTGAGACCAGGATGTTGTTCTCCTTGCTACTGGGCTCATGACATCAATGTCCTTTCAACCAGCATGATAGCATCCACAGAGTCTTCCACTTCGCATTAACTCCGCAGAGGATCTGTCAAGCTGTCAATCTTTATTGATATTTAAAATTGATCGATGCCAACCCTGTAAGGTAGAGACGCAGCAACAGAGCACAAGCTTCTCTGGTGTATTATTATTGCTATCATGTGACTTCATTCGAAAGCTAGAATGTTGTTCGGCCGCACATGGGCGCTCTCACCCACATATGTTGTCTCTCTCTACTTTCGACTTCCGCACTCTTCCTTGGGCTTCCTCAGCCTCAGTCAGAAAAAAGAGTCGAGGAGAAGCTTATGGATTGCTAGTTGATGGGTAGATCATTGACCAGAGAATTCGTTTATTTTCAATCAAAATCTACAATTTCTAGGGGAATAAGAGATACCTGCGTTCTAATTTTACTGCCTCACCTTGAAGAATTGAACAACATCACTCCGATTCGTTTGCCATTGTCAGCTTGCGGGGTCTCCGGCCCCTTCGCCTCCACTCGTCTGAACATGTCGTGAGAGAATTGATACATCTTTGACACGGACGCCCATCTTCACATCTTTGCTTCTTCTTCCTGCAAGCAACGCATGCTTGCTTGATTTGTTTCTTTATTCCTCCTCCTTGAACGCCGCTCAAGAAATCCTTGGGAAGATTCGAGATGAACGGGAGAGAAACTTGTTCGTCTTCAGGGATTTGTGAGTTGACTTCGGGCATCGCCTCCTCGTCGCTGCTCAAAGGCGAAGAGTAGTTGTTGGACGACAAATATGACGGTCTGCTCGGACAGGAAGACTCTGCAGGAAATTCTAGGAAGGGAAACAGTGATTCCAATGGGATATCAACCGAACGGTCCAGATCATCCGATGTAAGCATGTATGCACCCAAGTCTTCAGGAGTGAATGCCACGAGAGCGATGGCATCCTCCAAGCTGTGCGACGCCTTCACCAGATCTTGCATATCGGTACTGATAAAGTTGTCCATGGATCGATGTGCAGAATACATTGAGGGAAGAGGAAAAGACAGACAGGAAAACAAAGGAACCTTCAGAGCGTTCAAGAACAAGAAGCAGCAATCGATGAATTGATTGACGCAAGCTGAGTGTGAGGCGAAGGAAGAAATACAGTGCAAGCAGTACAGATGGGAAGTCTTTTGAAGGGTGGGATATTGGGGAGAAGTCACGGCACTCTCGGTCAGCCCTGAGAACGCTATCCGATTTGAAATTATCTCTTTTCGAAAATACAAAAATCGCGGGCCTACAAGATCCCGAATCTTTTGACAGTTTTGGACACCCACCCCACAAGTGAGTGCTGATGGACCCCTTTGATGAAACCTCTACAGTTTTACTTCCCCTGGTCTTGTCATCCGACCCCAAGATGACCCGAATCCAAAATGAGTCTTTTCACATTCCAAAATAAAACACGATTTACATAGATTATCCGAGACGAAAAAGAAACTTTTCGATGCGGGTGGCGTAGGGACATGAGGTGACAAACATTTTACCTTTTTAGTTTTAGTTAATGGGAAGAGTCTAGCCCATGCTTCATCCCCGCTATCCCCCTCCCGCCAGCCTCCCTCACCCTCGATTTATCATCATCCCACCCTACCCTTCCTAGTCGAACTCATGCAAGACCGAAATGAATTGAATCAAAAGATAGGAAATCTGGAATGGAGCAACTCTCTTGTAAAGCCAAGTGGTAGTGGGTACAGTAGTGTGAGGGCCCTGAGTGTTGACGGGTGTATCATGTCTTTTTTACTCATGACATCCGAATAATTTTGTAAAAGGCGGCGTTACCTAAATTTGCAGATGGACTTTTTTTTTAACCCCCCCACGCCGCCCCCACCCCCTCCCCTCGCTCCGCCCCCAACCCTTCACTTGCCTTCACTTCCCTGCCACGCTTTCATGTCCCCCTGCAATGGACTTCCTTCACTACTGCTCTCCTCTTCTTCCTTGATCATATCGAGTCTACCCATATCACCTTCGGCCTTCACTCGTGATCTCAGTGTACAGCGTCAACTGCGCTTCACATGAGCCCTTGGATATCGGTCTTGGTCAACACAGATGTTATGGGCTAGCAAGCCAAGCTTATTTCAACTTTCTTTCTCTGGGCATGCAGTGTGTACGTGAGAGCAGGACAGAGTGCAGCTTACATCACTGTCAAGCCTCAGTATCTTTCAGATCATCCCAATGACATTCTCGGACATCAGTGTCCACTTCATTGTATGTTTTCAGAACCGGCAATGCTCTGAAATTGCCGACATCACTGGTGATATATACCATGGTTGCAGGGTGGTGTCACGCCCGAACATGAGAGGAGAGAATAGCCCCATCTAGCTGAATGATATAGGCTAAGGCAAGGACTAGGGGTAGAGTCTTCTTGCTCAAGGAAGCAGAGGTGTTCTCGGCTTGGAAGTTGAAAAGCTTCCTCCTTAGATATCGAACATCCCATCAGAGGAATCCTTGCTCTCTCGTAGGAAAGAGAACCCCGTCCTCTTAGCTTGAAAGCCACCACGGGTACACGGTTCCTGCATGTCTCTGAGACTCTGGCTCAGTTCCCATGAGCTCTGACTGGTGGGCTCACCGAAACCCGATTAACACAACTTATTCCCACGGAAAGTCTCGTTCAAGGTTGCAAGGCTCGTCTGTTTCGGTGGAGCAAGAAGAAGCAATCCTGAAAAGAGCTCCGTTCAGTTGCATTATGACAGAAAGAATCGCATCTAAGTAACGCCGCGGAATGTTGCGTATTGTAGTATTGCAATACAGTGATTCTGTAGACTGGGTACTTGAATGCAGTGTTGACAGCAGTAAATCAGGGATCTGAACCAGCACCAGACAGTACAGTGTTTCTCCGCGTTATGGTATAACTCGTGACCGTAGAAGAAGAGGAACACACACTAGTCCTCAGTGTTCACCACTGGTATAGTGACTGTCTTGAATGCAATTGAAACGCACGGCGCGAAAACCAGAAAACTATGATGAGCGGCCGTGGGTGGGGCAAGATGCGCTCCGCGAAGAAGTCGAGGATAGTGTTCCCAAGAAACACAAGAGTCAGATTGAGTCACACACACTTGAACAATGATTACATGAGTCGCAAATGAGAAAGAAAGCGGGGATGTTCAGATCGGATCGAGAGAGAGAAATGAGTCAGCGATAGTTTCCTGATGCTGGTCGTAAGTTAGGTGGAGCACCTTCTCCAGACCAAGTACAGGGAATACAAACCCTCATCAGTACTTCTAAGACGCCAACTTCCAACAAGGGAAATACTAACTCTGGTCGTCATCTCTGAACATCATGGCATGTACCACCCCATCTCACCGTGAACCGTTCAGTGACGGCCGGCCGCGTTGGCCCAGACTGAGAGGAGCCTCGCGAGACCTAGAGAGTTACTAAGTTCTATCTCACTGACTGCTACTCCCGGCTGCTATCTGAGAGACACTAGTCTACAACTTATTACTACCGGTTCTTTTAGTACCAGGGTATGTTTCAGAGTTACTATATGATACAGTATCATCGACCGTTTTGGTTGTCTCCTGCATCAGTTCTAGTCACCACCCCATGAATTTCCACGATTCAACGGTGCCGGGGTGGCAAGTGGGCAAGTGGGCCAGTGGTTTTTACTTCCTTCCCCTCACTCGTCGGGGGGCCCGTACACTTAAGAACCCACACGGGCCATGTACTAGCCTCCATAAAACTTCGGCTTCAGATCGGGGTGACTATTTGAATCAGTTTTGAATTCTCAGAACACAACCACTGGGTGGGTTACCGGTCAGTGACTACCCCTTATGTTTACTGAAGTATGATCTAAAATGTGGGTAGGTTGATTTGAATTTTCGATGTACGGTCCCCAGTCCGAGGCGCATGCTCATGCCAGTGTGAATAGGCTGACGCAGTCACTGTGAGCTGAAGGAACATTCCACTTGCCAAGTTGGAACAAGATCGCTTGGGTCGTCCTCCAGTGTCACGATGATCGTCAAAAACTGAGTGCCGCTCAGCGGCTAGTGACTCGTCCGAAGAACTTGGAAATCGATAGGCTATCCGAAAACGACATGTAACTTAGTAAACTTGCTATCACAACAAAAAATTTTAAGCTCCGCGTGCTCTCAACCGGGCTCGAACCGATGACCTTCGCCTTATCAGAGCGACGCGCTACCAACTGCGCTATGAGAGCTTGCTGTATAGCTGCTGACAACTGTATATGTACCTGTGCGACCACCCCTACCCCCTCCAGATGTACCCACCTTCATCTTCACCGTAAACTACCCCCTTCTTCTCGTGTACCCGACTCAATCTTGTACACCCCGAACCCCCCCTGCCACACTCTCCCCTTTCTCTAGCTTCACCTGCGGCCTCGCCCCCGCCCTCCCAATGGCCGTCAGGAGTCGACGGGAGAGCGAACGGGGTGAAGGGAGTGGAGATGGAGCACAGAGAAGGGAGGGAGGGGAGAGATGGTGATTCTCGTGTATATAACATAAAACAGGTTTTTGGTTTCGTCCTGTAATGCATCCCTGGAACGATGACCCAAGGGCGATCAAGAATCATGTGATAAGCCCGATCTCCCCTTCCCTTCCCTAACATGCTCAATCAACTACATCTTTTGACGCTCGTCTACATGATCACACATATTCATTTCACGCAACCACGTTACGACACGCGAATTTATTGATCTCCATCTCGAGTGATCTCTGATCTTATCTGAGAGATCACGTTGTCTGCTGAGTGGTAGATGTTGCTTGAGATAAAATCAAATCAGTCATCCTTGCCCCAACTACCTTTCACAACACACCTGGTTCCTTCAGCTTGCTCAACGGTCGGCAAGTAAGAGAACGATTGATCTTTCTCTTGAGCTTGCCCAGACTGCATCAGGCCAGCTTTCAGCGCGGCCGGGCCTCGACCGAAGCTTTCAAGAGCGGCAGTCTCCTGGAGAAAGTCTCTTGGGGCAAGTGGAGAGATTGAGGGATCTTCTGCAGCACCTGGTAAACAATGACAGGCAATGAGACAGGCAAACAAAAGGTACGACAACCTGCTTCCAGCCCGGACGATTCGGTTGGCACACCATCGCTACTGCTAGTCATGGCGCTGCTTGCAGGTTCGTTGCTGGCTTCAACCGCTCGCTGGCTCACATTGCTGGACCGATTTTCTTCCCACGGCCTGAATTCTTTTTAAAAAAACACCAAGGGAGCGGATCATCACTTTCTCCGTGGGTTCTTCATTGCAGGGGTCGCTGTGAAAGAGTTGTCCACAGGGGAATCATCAACTTTGCGAACATCGCTAGGAACCCCTCCTTTCTGCTCGACTCAGTTCTGCACGTAGAATGAAAGATAATGCACCTGAACGAGGTCAAGGACTTCTTTGAAGTTCGTTTCCACGGCTGAGGTATCATCTTGCTTCGTTTGAGAGTCAGCACACGAAATTTGCTCATCATCTGCAGACATTGCAGCGTTCTGTGAGTACTCAGAACGGATCGACAGGTTTACCTTTGCCCTTTGAGCTGCCCGAGGCACTTCCAGCACCTGACGCTGCTTGTCCCACTTTTCCAGCATTTGCCAAATTTCTGAAAATTCGAGCGTTTGGAAGACCCTGAGGGACTGAGGCCCCACCCGCAGAAGACGAAGGCTTCACCTCCACCTGATCGATGACCTTGGCCATCGGAGGAGCTGCTGCTTCACTCTTCTTGTCTTCAGGTCCATTCCCCCCGTTCTGGGTTGCAATATTCAGCATGAGGGTTCGGAGCGACTTCACTTCTTGTTGCAGTTCAGACAGACTGTTACTGGTGATCATGTTCTGAGTTGTGTTCAAGATCTCCGTCTTGACATGATCCAAAGATGGAGCTGACTCTAACGCAATAAGTCTTCGGTTCATGTCAGAAACTTCTTTGATGTTCCTGTCCACAGCTTCGTGCAGTTTGTGAATCGAAGAAGAGATCTCTCTCAACCTCTCATCGTGCTCTACATTTTTCCTCTCTCTTACTGACCTACCATTATCTGTTGTTCCCCAAAGATCTGCGAGATGCTCTTTCGTGTACTTTTTTGCGAGTACCCCAAGCCCAGATCCGAGTCCCACAACAGCCATGGAAGCCAGTAGAATCTTTCCCCTGATCGCAAATTCATTTGACACAGGAGGAGGTCAAGCAAGGACGAATACGTACCAGCTTGACTGAGTGGAGCTCGAGCTCTGTAATTCGTTTCCTGTGCATGGAGTCAAGAGAGTGCGGAATTCAACGATATGTTTACCTTGCGACCCTCGGGAAGGCGATGCTGAACTCAACATGTTTGGTTGAGATTGCGAGGTTTTGATATTCGCTTGCTGTGTGTTTGACGTAGACTTCGCCGCTGCTTGTGATCTTGACACCTGATCGAGCTTGGGCTGTGCGATGCGTACAGCCTCTTCAATCTCCTCTTCTGTAAGCCCCTTTGCTGCAATTAGCTGGTACAAGACAACAGACATAACAAAACAACCTTTTTCTGCAAGAATTTTTTCCTTTCATCCATGGTAGACGCCTGCACTTTTGGATGGAGCAGGAACTGAACAGCATTTTGCACTTGATCATCGCGTAATGCGCCTGCTTGGCTGCTTGCGGGAGCGGTCGCGGGAGCGCTTTCTTCAACGACGCTATCATCCATTTGCAGTATGCTGCAGTCGATGCCACTCTAAGTTGAACACTTTATGTCCTCTGTGCCTGCTCTCTTCGCTCTTCCTCTCTTCTCCTCTCCTTCCCTTCACTCTCTGTCTCGACCCTGGTTGTGTGCAGGTTTCTTACCATCGAACCCAAGTCATATTTCACTAAATGCCGTCGGGCCGGCGGTCAGACCTCCGGAGGTCCGGGTCGGGACTCGGGAAATGTCGTTGGGTATTTGAAAAAGTGGTACCACCGGTGGTTTAGATATCACAAAAGGGGGTAGTATGGGCGTGTAGGTTTGGTCGGAAGGACAAGCGATGCGCCAAGCGAGGGAGAAGGGAACAGAAGAGTAGAGGCAAGCAGAGGGGACAGAAGGAAGAGAAGAAAGGACAAAGATAGGAGAGATGCTTTGAAAGTGAGTGGAGAACAGAGGTTGGATAGCATATATGAGATAGCATTGAAAGATAGGTGATCTGATTGATGAATTATGCTGTTTGGTTAGCGGACACAGACAGGTTATCAGAACGCACATATCAAGATAAATCGACGTAGGTCAATACCAGGAGAAAGCACGATCAGCACAATATGTCTTGATACACATTTCTGATATCAGATGAAAGAAGCAAGTAAAGGATAGGGATGCTAGGTCTTAGTCTCGATGAGAAATGGAACACATGATTAATCAGTCATCTTCTAATTTCCCAAGTGATTTCAATATGTATCCATGATCTAAGTCAGTACGTTTTGTTGCAGGTCTCAGTTTTTCTTGTTTCCATCATGTATCGATCGCAGGGCATAGCAATGAAGGAGAATCGCTCTCCCCCCAAGGCTGGAAACACCTTCTTGAAATCTTCCTCGTCGGCACTTCAATCAAAGACAAACATCGCAGCCACCGGCGCCCTTCGTGTCCCCAGCAAGCCGACGGTACCTAATGTCATTCGTCCCATCACCGCTTCTTCCGTCTCCTCTAGCTCCATGCAGGCAGGCAAGGGAGTTGTGCGGCCAGGAACAGCCCCTGGGTCTTCTGGTCACAGCGAGAGCAGAGGTCAGGACCAGGGCACAGAACGAAACCAATCAGCTCGGCAGGGCAACGTGAAGACATGGGAGCTGTCTGACTTTGACATCGGCAAGCCTCTGGGGCGAGGAAAGTTTGGAAACGTCTACCTTGCAAGGGAAAAGAAGACTCAGTTCATCGTGGCGCTCAAAGTTCTGTTCAAATCCCAGCTGGCGAAGGCTGGAGTTGAGCACCAGCTGAGAAGAGAGATTGAGATTCAGTCGCACTTGCGACACACTAACATCCTCCGGCTCTACGGCTACTTCTACGACCAGAGCCGCGTCTACCTCATCCTCGAGTTTGCAGCAAGAGGGGAGCTATACAAGGAGCTGCAGAAGGTTCTCCCCGTCTCACTTGCTTTTCCCGTCTTTCCTCTCCTCTCTCCCACGTGCTGCTGCTCTTCTGTGTATTTCTGCTGCTGCTCTTCTGTGTATTTCTGCTGCTCCTTTTCTGTGTATTTCTGCTGCTGCTCTTCTGTGTATTTCTGCTGCTCCTCTTCTGTATATTTGTCTTGTTTGTTTGGTGACGCATTGAGGGCAGATGAAACGTTTCCCGGAGGAGCGAGCAGCTTACTACATCGGATCTCTTGCGGCCTCCCTCGCCTACTGCCATGAGAAAAATGTGATCCACAGAGACATCAAGCCCGAGAACCTCCTGGTGGACAGCAAGGTGACCCTTTCCTCCCCTCCCTCCCCCTGTTCCCGTCTCCTCTCCCCTCCCCTCCTCTCTACCCTCCCTCCAGCCCCTCCTTCTTCCCTTCCCTGCTCCTCCTTTTCCGCTCCTTTCCTATGATTTCCTTGTACTCCTTGTCTTGTCTCTTTCCTGACCTGACCGGATCGTAGGGTGAGGTGAAGATCGCTGACTTTGGCTGGTCCGTACATGCTCCCTCTTCCAAGCGCCACACCCTCTGCGGCACGTTGGACTATCTTCCTCCTGAGATGGTTGAGGGCCAGGTAAAGCTTGCTTCTCCTACTCACTCACTTGTTTTTCTCCTCACTATCCTTATTCTTTCTGATCCTCCAACTGTAACTCGTTCTCTTTGGTCCTGTTACCTCTGTTGGCTCATGTTTTTCTAAGGCTCATGACAAAAATGTCGACATCTGGTCACTTGGTGTCCTCTGCTATGAATTCCTTGTCGGAAACCCTCCCTTCGAGGCTCAGGGTCACTCCGAGACATACCGCAGGATCGCAAAGGTGCTTCTTGCTCTTGCTCCACCCTCCTCCTTCTGAGAGCTGATCTCGTGGTTTCTCAGGTTGACTTGAAGTTTCCCTCCTACGTGTCTGCTGGCGCTAAGGATCTCATCTCGAAGCTCCTCGTCAAAGACCCGAAGGCTCGACTTAGCCTCAAGCAGGTCCATCTTCCTCCTCCTCCCAATCCCAATCCTAGTCCTAGTCTTAGTCTTAGTCCACTTCCCATTTCGATTCCCGTGATGTCACTTACCTTCTTTGTCTCTTACACGATCCACAGGTCATGCAGCATCCTTGGATCAAGCTGGGTGACGCTTACAAGGCTCAGCTGGACCGGGAGAACGAGGGAAGGTTCGCAAACCTCCACCTGTAGAGCAGGAGGAGGAGGAGGAGGAGTGTGGGTGTCTCAATAAAGAATAAACAAGATTTACTGTTTCTCGGTTGTTGTGATTCCCTTCTGTTGCTTTCTGTCTGAAAGTTTCTTTCCATCCTCCTCGTCCTCTCTGTTCCTCTCCACGTTCCTTTCCAGCAACTGCTTAATAGCTGCTACCACCTAGGGAGTGTGAGAGGTGCGCTCAGGAGAAAGTTGAAGCAAGAAAAGAAGAAAGCTCTCTTACCTCAGGTGAGATTTTGTTCACGCGCACGTCCATGTTTTTCATCTTTGTGTTCTCCTCCAGCGCGTCTCTCAGTATCATCCCGCCCTCTGCTGTTGATTCATTCCATGCCTCTCCTCCTGATCCTCCTGCATCCTTCCCTCCTCCCTTCTCCTTTGTTCCTCCTCCCTGTTCTGGTCCTCGGTTCCCCCCCCCCCCCCACCACCACCACCACACATCTTCACCTGGACCTAGTGCGTTGCTGGAGATGTCAACGAACTCGATGCTTGAGTTGAGCCTAAGCATTGCCGCAAAGATCCTCACAGCTTCCCCCTGCTTCCGTAGTCACTCCACCACCCCACCCCGCCCGTCATGCCCCGTCCCCTCCTCTCCTGCTCTCTTCCTTCCTATCTCTTCCCCCTCGCCTCTCTTCCTTTCTCCCATCAACTCTTCTCACCTGCCCTGATCCATCACCAAGCCCATTTCCTCCGATGTGAAGGTGACTCAACGCCTTTTAACTGTCAGACGATAAAGAACATCCGACGGCAAGGAGGAATAAACGAAAAGAGGAGTATTTTGAAGGATGTGTGCAGTGGGGGGGGGGATGGATGAGGAGTGGAGGCCTTACAGAATTGCTCTTCAACCCTTCGAAGATGTAACATCCTCCTTTCTCTCCAAGTCTGAACTAGAGTCAACAACGCATCGATGTAAAGCAGCAGGGAAAGCACAAGAGAGTGACAAGCAGTAGGATGAAGAAATCGGGAAGGGGATGAAGAGCGTGAAAAAAGGGAACAAGGAGGGGGACAACAGAAGAAGCTCGCACGGGGAGAGGGTTTGGCAGGGCAGGAGGGAGAGAAAGCAGGATGCAAAAGGGGACAAGAAGGAGAAGCACGGGAGAAACCTGTTGAGTCTTAGGTTCAGGTTGATGAGACAAGTGTTGGTTTGCAAGCTCCTTCCGAGGAACTTTCCTCCTTCCGAGTGAATGTGATTGTCACAGAGAATTAGAGTGGATATGACGCTATCCTTTCCCAGACACTTGCAAAGAGCTCTTGTTCCCCTTTCAAAACATATCACAACACGACAAGACAACAACAACCTGATCAAGACAAACGAATTGAGAAAAAAACTTCAAACAGGATCAAACGAGTTGCCAAACCAGCAGGCAAACATTTGAGGGATCATGAGGGGGAGGGAGCAAAAGGGATATGACAAGTCGAGACATCAAGTAAAAGTGATGACAAGAAACTCGAAGGACCTGTCAGAGATCTTGTTGTGGCTCAGATCGAGATGAGTGATGGTAATGTTGTCTCTCAAACCCACCACGAGCCTTCTGACCTACAAAAACAACAAGCAGTTTACAACCTCACACAAGACAGCAGCAAGAGCGCAAGGACAAGAAGCAAAGCTATCAATGGAGAGTGAACCAAGCAAATCCATCCAACAAGAACAATGGCATCACTTTTTCGTCATCAAGCATATTCTCATTGAGGATCAAAGTCGTCAACGTCTCTGTCTTCGCCAGCTGCAAATAACTCAATGGCGAGAGAAATCGATCAGCCCGTCACCTGCTGGGCGAGAAGTTCGGCATCTGTTAGCTTCATCCCGAAGATCGATCTCTCATACTTCATGCCCACATTCTTAGACCCATACGTGATGTTCAAACTACCGTAACTGTCAGCAAGATCGCTTGTCAGAATCGTTCTGACCTGTACAGATTTGGAAGGGCATCGAAAAGAAAAGAAACGTCGGCGTGCGATGAGAACTGACAACGCAAGTTAAGTAAGAGAAAAGGTTCACCCGAGCTTCTCAACAACCCACTGTTATCAGTTACAACCATTTCATCAAATGTCTGTATTCTCTTCTGATCCTCCAATTATCACCTGTCGAATTTGAAGTTTGTAGATGAAATCGCGAGAGGTGAGGAGAAGTTCGATGAGAGCATCCATGGCCTGACAAGTTCCTCATACCTAAACCCTCATACTTCGAAAGGGCTTCTTCTCACCTCCTGGCTCCCGTCAAAATTCTCAATCGCCTCCTCGGCTGTTCGTTCAAAGAAGAGTTGTTTCCTGCACACCATAAGGGATCTTTCAGCCCACATCGCGGCTGACGCATTTCCTCTCCTCTCTTCTCCTCTTCCTTCTCTCATCGCCTCTCATCACATCTCACCAGCTATGACCATGCTCTTGGGGAAGGCAATTCTGAAACAGATCAGAGGCGCATCGCTTCCAGTAGACCTGCTCAGACTTGAGGAGAGGAGGAGAGGCTTGAAACAAGCTCACATCGGACTCTATGAGTGGTGCTGAGACCTGGAGAGGCAGGTCTGTTGGGATCAGCTTGCACAGATTCTCTTTGAACTTCTCAGGAATCCCGGCAAACGTCGGGCGACTTTTGAAATTGAGGGCAGCAGATTGAAGGCACAAGTCAGTCAGAGGCTTCACAAACGTCAGGGGCGCGACGTCCTCCTCAGCCTTGCCGAATCTTGCTGTGTGGATCTGAGCGTAGGCGGTCTTGGACATGGTCTATGGTGCCAACAGGTTGCGTGTACACTAGGGGAACGATGCTGTTGTGAAACAAGTCGCCATGATGAAGCCACTTGACCTGTTGGAACACAGAATTACAACACAATCGTTCTAAATGCTCCTTTAGTCAATCAAACTCTGATTCATTTCACAAAACCACGTCCTTGTTACCATTTGCACTGCAGTTTTCTTGACTGTTTCTGTGAAGCTCGCTAACTGCTTTACATCTAGAACTCCTTTGTTGTGTAGAGCTCTTGTTTTATTCCATGGCCTTGTCCTGATTTCGATGCAGGTTATTCGTTTCTTCTCTTATCCTTGATTCTTTCTTCTTTCCATATTCTCGTTCACCAGTTTCAATTTCTGGTCTGCTCATCGCAACTTTGGCTCCCTGCGACTTTTGTTATCCATTTCATCGCTATTCTTTCCCTTCTGTCTTTTTGCTCGTGATGGTGCGGCTGACGCTACTGCTGCTTACTGTCCTTGCAGGCCAACGGAATCGTGAACATTGCGCAACAGTTGTAAACCGTTACCGTTCCAAACCGAACAAGGCACTCAGGGCCGGAAACCGTGAACGGCGGCGGCGCAGCGGCCCGGGGCTCCGAGGCACTGGGGCCGCGGGCTCAGTTGCCAATCAAGTTACACTGTCACCTGCGCCTAGAACAAATGCTAAACAAAATCCAACCCAACACCTATACGGACCATAGACAGCTTGATAGAATGGAAGAAGAGATACGTCAATGCTCCCTCACCGTGCACATGTTGATCATCGATGGAGATACTTGCTTTGCTCCGAGGCTCCCCCAAGTGAAACAAATGACAGATGACGTGGCTAAAGGCTGGTTCTGTGGCAACTTGTCGACTTGTCACTGAGTTGGACTGTGCGAGGCTCTGCGTGAGAGACTCTCTGATCGCAATCTCAACACTGCTACTACCCCTGGAGAGGTGTCTCAATGCCGCGATGCTGTAACCGGCGCTGATCATCGCACATCACTGTGCGATGCACTTCCTTGATGTTATTCGTACGAACAATGCATTGGAACTGAACAACAGGTTCTTCATCTTCATCTTGTCTTACTCCGAGCCCATCAAAACACGCTCAGGTAGTAGTAGTAGTAGTATACTATGTCATTAGATTACTAGTGAGTTGGATATCTGTCCTGTTGTCTCCTGTCCTAGTCTTGCATACACGGAGGGGTTGTTTGTTCCCCTCCTTCTAGGTTTGCTATGCCCTGGGAGGGGTGGCTTCTGCTCCTTGGAGGGGTGGCTTTTCCATTTCCTCTGATTCGAACACCCCCGACTTTTCCTCACATCCCACTTGAGACGAGGAGATTTCCAACTTCCATCATTCCTGGATCAATCATCTCTTGCTTTCTCTTCTTCTGGCGAGCTTTGTACACTTTGTTGAGCTTCTCATCAATTCTTCTTAAATTTGTCTGTGCAGAGTGTGGGTGCATTGAAGTCGAGCAATCGAGTCTAGTCTTCTCCCCGGCCGTCGCCGCGTCGCCTTCGTCGCCTTCCCTCACACGTTTCAAACCCAGCCTATGCCCATGCTCCTTCTCCTCCCTCCTCCCTCCGTCGGTCCTCAGCGTCTCCTCGACCCCTCTCGTCCCTCCAGAACAGACCTGAGCCATCGGCTCTCCTCGGAGCCTCGCAAGTCGATGATCCTGTGAGCCAAGGCATCGCCTCCGAGCGATCGGATGCGTTGGATGTTGTGCGAGTTGTTGCTCGCAAGGCTGCTCAGCGCCTTCATGAGATCGTCCAGCAACAAGGTGCTGTGCTGATGCCTTCGCATCGCGCTAACGACGGCCTCGATCGCTCCCGCCTCTCTCGCCCGCACCTGGCTGTCAGCCATGCCGCTGACGATGCTGTGCAGCGCTTGGCACGCTGCCAGCTGTACCCACACCTCGTCCGGGAGCCCGGTCATGGCGCAGACGATAGCCTCGATCGCTCCCGCCTCGCGAGCCCGCACCTGGCTGTCAGCCATGCCGCTGACGATGCTGTGCAGCGCTTGGCATGCTGCCTTCTGTAAGTTGTCGTTCGGGTGCCTGGTCATCGCGCGGACGACAGCCTCGATCGCTCCCGCTTGAGTGGCCGGGAGCCTGCTGCACTCGCTGGTCTTGGCTATGTTAGTCAGCAACCTGCATAGCTGCCCCTGTATGTCCGCGTTGCTCTGGTGCCTGGTCATCGCGCTGACGATAGCGTCGAGCGCTGCCGCATGACTCGCCGTGCTCTGACCTCGGAAGTTATTCATGATGGAGTTGAGGGCCCCGAACACTTTGAGCACGAATATTCTCCTTGCGTCGTCTGCGTGGGTATCGAGGGCTGTCAAGATTGCCTGAATCGCTCCCACCTCTCGTGCCTGCGCCTGGCTGTCTTCCCCGGAGCGAACCAAGTGGTCCAGAGACCCGCAGGCAGCCTCCTGTATCTCCGCGTCGTCCGGATGGCTGTTCATCACGTTGATGACGGCCTGGATCGCTCCCGCCTCTCGCGCCCGCGTGTGGCTCTCTTGAATGAAGCTCGATATGTAGTCCAGAGCCCCGCACGCAGCCCGCTGTACCCCCGCGTCTTGAACGTGCCTGGTCATCGCGCTGACGATGGCCTCGATCGCTCCCGCCTCTTGCGCCCGCACATGGGTCTGATCCATTGTACTGACAGTATGTCTCAAAGCCTCGCATGCAGCCTGCTGTACCCCCGCGTCGTCCGCGTGCCTGGTCATCGCGCGGACAACGGCCTCGATCGCTCCCGCCTCTCGCGCCCGGACTCGGTTCTGTCTGATCTCCTCATATCTACTCGAGAGTCTACATACATGACTCAGGGCCCAGCACGCAGCCTGCTGTACCCCCTTGTCATCCGCGTGCCTGGTCATCGCGCTGACGACGGCCTCGATCGCTCCCGCCTCTCCTGCCCGCGCCTGGCTCTCCTCGATGCGTCTGACTATACACTTGAGGGCCCCGCACGCAGCCTGCTGTACCCCCTTGTCATCCGCGTGCCTGGTCATCGCGCGGACAACGGCCTCGATCGCTCCCGCCTCTCTCGCCTTGAGCTTGTAGTCTTCAACGCTCTGAGCCATCCTGACCAAGGCTTCGCACGCAGCCTGCTGTACCTCCGCGAGTGCCTCATACGTCGCCATGTCCTGCACTTCCGCCTCTATGCTGTCTTCAGCTCCCGTCATCCTCAGCTGCCTCCATACCTCCCTTGCCGGCTCCTTCATCCCACGTCCGTCTTGCGCCTCTACCGCTGCTGACGTCCCGACCCGTAGCCTCTTTGCTCCCGTGCTCAGCGGGCTACGGGCGTTTCTCGCCATGCCTTCCAGGGCATCGCATGCTGACTCTTGTAGCCCCGCATGCTCTCGGTACTTGCGCTTGCTGAATCTCGTCACCACCACCTCGATCCCTCCGCCCGCTGCCTCTCCGATCCATCTCCACGCAGCTACTGCCATACTGCATATGCCCCGGCATAGCGACTGGCTGCCGCTCCGTGCGTCCTGCAGCCCAGGCGTCCTGCCTGACGACCTCCATGCTGCCCTCTCACGCCCCTCCGCTCCGGCTCGTCCTAGAGCTACCGCAAGCTCCGCGAACGTCGGGCGATCCTCCTCCCTCGTCGCCCAGCAGCTCTCTACCAGGGCCCATACCTCGTCCGGACACCCTCCGACTACGTCCTCTCGGGTCAGCCTCCCACCCCCGCACACGTACCGGATCACACTTTCGTCCGTCAAGTTGTAGTAGGGGGTCTTGCCCAAGGTCATGATCTCCCAGCACGTCACCCCGAAGGCCCACACGTCGCTCTTCTCTGAGCACCGGCCTCCCTGCATGGACTCCGGGGGCATGTAGCGTACCGGCAGCCCTCGCCCCGCTACCGTAGCGTCAGTACCGTCCACGAGCTCTACTGCCAGCCCGAAGCCCGCCACCTTCACCGACGTCCTGCGCACGTCCTCCTTGTCGAAGCCCAAGACCAGCACGTGCCTTGCCGCGAGGTTCCGGTGGACGACGCGGAGCTCAGCGAGGTGCTCCATGCCCTGGGCGATCTGCTGCATTATCGCCATCTGGTGCCCTCGCGTCACCTGGCCCCCCAGCCTGCCCACCAGAGCCTCCCTCAGCAACCCCAGCTCGGCGTACTCGGTCAGCAGCAGGCGGCAGCCCTCGGCGTCCTCGCTCTGCCCCATGTACCGTACAAGCCGAGAATGCGGCCCGAGCCTCAGCATCACCCCGGCTTCTCTCTCGCCGTCGCCTTGCCTCAGCTTGAGCACCGCGACCTTGATCCTCTCCGGCTCCACTCCTCGCCCTCGCAGGCGGAGATGACCTATGTAGAGGGTCTTGAAGGAGCCTGCTGAGATTGGCTGCTGGTCGATCTCGACGTCGTTTCTGGGGACGAGCAGCGCGTGTCGCTCCTGCCACTTTTGGATGGCGCTGCGGAGAGCAATGTTGGGGATAAGGTAGTTGGAGGGGAGGCAGGCGCCAGTGAGGGGGCTGGAGAGACGGAGCTGGAGCCAGGCCTCGATGGAAGATCTCTCGTAGGTGTAGCCATCGCAGGAGGAGACAGGGTCGGTCATGAGCGACATGCTGATGAGGCAGAAGAAGGACGCGAGTGGTTGCTGCTCCGCTATCATGGCGGGGACGAGGGAGGGGAAGGGGAGCGGGAGGGAAGAGGGCTGGGGTACGCATCGCAAGGGAGTGAGAGGGGGTGCGGGTCAAGTCTAGAAAGGGTTCACGGAGGGGGTGTTACGAGGAGGGGAGGGGAGGTACAGGGGGTGGTAGGAAAAAAGAAAAGCCAATCCTACCAGTGGCTGTAAAAGCTCGAAAAAAGAAGATCTTCATAAAAAAAGACAAAAAAGAAAGGTGTACAGCCTGTGGGAGCTGTGAGCATGGAAGATGCCAGCGTTGTGACGATGTATCCACTGAAGAGACAAGATCAGGGGTTGAGAACAACGTGGCAAGATATGAAACGTATCTTTGCTTGAAAAGCGGCCGATGCGATAGGCGAGCGAGACGGCGCCGAGGGTTTGCACTTGGCGGTCGTCCGCAACTTGCACGGTAAACTGAGTATCACGCTGTAGCAGAGTCTCGGAGAGTCCCAGCTGCTGAAAAAGCTGCTGAGACATGATATTGATATGAACTCGGGAAGAGCTGATGCTGACGGGGAGCCGAATAAGATCACGGCGGGTAAGGCGAGCTGAAGCGGCGCGGAGGCGTCCGGCCACCGTCAACCGAAGTCAGCGCCGAAGCTGCCCGAGCTGCTCTCGAAGCCGCTGTGCCGCGCGAGCCACCGAAGCTCGCCATGCGCAGGCCCGCCGTGACCGTACCCGGACTCCGACACCGTTGGCAGGCTGGCGTAGACAGGAAGCCTGAACCAAGCCTTTTAAACTGCTCGGATGATCTGATCGGTGTACCGGTTTAGGGTTTAGGGTTTAGGGTTTAGGGTTTAGGGTTTAGGGTTTAGGGTTTAGAAATCCTCCCGCAAAGGAGGGATCGAGAAGCAACCCCTCGACGAAAGAAAAGGGTGGTCGAGATGGACAAGCTATCGGGAAGACTAGGCGTGGAATGGGCAATAGCACTTGATGAGAAGATAAAAGCGGCACAAGCTCTACATCAAGATTGCGACATTCTCGAATTGATAACAACAGCCCTCCCCATCAAGGAAATTCCGCTACGAGGCTCCAGCGGGAAAAGACATGCATCCAAAATTCAAATGGATCTGAAGCGCAAAATCAAGCAACTTCACAAGGACTTAAGAAACGCTTCAGAAATTCCAGACTTTATTGATCGCGCACACAAGGAGTCGAGCTTACATGCAGAAATAAGAGAGAATATGACCAAATTCAAGGAGATCTGCGCAGCACAAGACCAAGAGATATTCCTGAAAAAATGCGAAGAACGAAGAAGACGCTTGGGCACGATAGGGAGTAAAGAGTCTCAAAATGCAATGGGCAAGAAATCAGACTTTAAGCCCAAAGCCCCAATGCTGAGTCAACTGCCAGAGAAGTGCCACCCAAACACAATCGAACTTACGTCATGGAGAGATCTCCAGCCAGCGCTGCAACAGCCGGAGACAGCATATCTTCAAGAACTGAACCCGTTAATCGAGACATTCCTCCAGAGCAACTCCAAAGAATCAAGCAAAACCTTTTGGAATGCAAGACATCAAACCATGCTGCACGTCGAGGTTCTCGGGGCGAGGAACCTGGCAACACTGACACAAAAGCTGTTCATAACTCTGGCGCCTGCACACGCAATCGTACCCATCATCCGAGGACTGATCACACAGCCAGGAGGGTGGCGCCTGGAAGGATACAAAAACATCGAGCAATTCCTCCCCATGAGATTGGCAAGAGATCTAGAAGATGAAACCCACACGGCAACCTTCTTTGCAGTCAACGGATGTACCATGAACGGAACCTGTGCAAGAGCTGAATGTCAAACAAAAGGACGACTGATTCCGTTATATGACAAAAGCCAGAAAAACGAAGAAGCATCAATCCTCTTCTTCTGCAAAAGCTGTCAATCACTGACTTCCGTCAAACCACCGGACTTCGAACCCCCAGAGCAAATCAATCAACACCCGACCAGGGATGTAGAGATAGTTTACCCGCTGGAGCCAGGCGAGATCCAAGTATGGATTCAAAAACTGGCCAACCGGAAAGCAGCAGGCATGGATTTGATTTCAAACGAGATTCTGAAAGCTCTGCCTGACAGTGCAAAGGAGGAAATAGGCAAGACAATCAGCCGAGCCTTGATCGGAGACAAGCAAACACTAAAGATGCTCGCGAGAGTTAGGCTCCTCCCAAAAAATGAGATATGTCACCTCTTGGAGAATCAAAGACCTATATGCGTCCTCTCCTCGATAACGAGGATCTTCCAGGCAGTCATAGCGCACAGACTGGCAAAAGCTGCTGAAAAACATAAGCTACTCACTAACAACCAGGAAGGTTTCAGACCAGAGGGGGGGACGATCAGGCAGGGTCATCGTCTACTCAACATCATCGAGGAGGCTCAGAGTAATCAACACGACCTCATCCTGCTGTACCTCGACTTTGCAAACTTCTTTAACAATGTGGCAGTCGAATCCATTGCAAAAATCATGGAAGTATATGGCTTTCACCAGTGTGATGTAGACGTCGCAATCAGTTGTAGCCAAGGGATAGCGCTGCAAATTCAGACAGAGAGGTTCGAAACAGCAGCCATCCCACTTCTCAGAGGATTACCCCAAGGCAGCCCCGCAAGTCCGCCAAAAACAAATCTTCTGCTCAGCATCTTGTCAAAACAGCTCGATCAACAACAAGACGAGATTGCAACTCAACACCCTAATAATCTGTCATTTGCAGACGACCTTGTCCTGATAGCACATTCAGTGAGAGAGATGAAAACGCTTGTCCAAGTGGTAGAGCGATTCTGTCGATGGAGTGGATTAGAACTGAACACGAAGAAATCTGAAATCACCAGCTTTGATTATCGGCTAAGAAGGGAGATCCCAGGAACACAGACCATCAAGTTCTTCGACAAGGAGTTTGTGAACCTACCACCGACAAAATGGTTCAAATATCTAGGGATCCGGATCAGCTTGTGGAGACCAGGAGGAAGAGGCAACAAGGCGCACACCTGCCCCTTCACGTGGGGAGAGAAAGAACACATCTTGGAGAAGACAAAAGAACTGACCAAGCTGATTGAATCATCTGCTTACTCGGCAGCCCAAAAATATTACCTGGTGAAGGTAGGCATCGTCAATATATTTAGATACTCGGCGGTACTGGTGAGCTGGTCTTGGTCAGACTTACAAACCTTAGATACCCTCTGGACCAGAGCATTCAAAAGAGCTATGGGATTGAGCAAGAGTACAAGCAACGCTATCTTTCACCTACCTTGGGACAAAGGAGGCCTCCAACTCCCCCATCCAGCACCCATCTTGGGAAGGGCGGCGATTCGGTATCTAGAGAAAGAAACGAATAAGAAATGCAGGGTGGATGATGATATCAAAAGCAGTCTGATCCACAAACTAACATCATGGTGCAACCAATGGGGGTGTCAAACAATAAACCAGCTACAACGAGAAATCAGATCGGGCAGACTCAAAGAGAACGAAGCGATAAGAGGACCGGAGAGACTCGCAATCTGGATAGCGGAAAAAATGCAGACCACCATCAGTTGGGAAATGATTGAAAGCAAGATGAAACCGGGGACAATAGCCATCTTACATGACCTGGAGGACAAGATGCTCTCAGAAGCAAACTCCCTGCTGTCCGGAGAAAACTCCCTACCTACACCTCCTGCTCGGCAAGGCTGGGAGAGTTTTGCAAAGGCATGGAGACTACTGCCCCAAGTAGGCTTCCACTCCATGACAAGTGTCTTACCCGTCCCAGATACCGAGGGCATCTCCCTGCACCTGCCCATCCGACTCTGGCCATTCCCAAAGCAAAGGGAACAAGCAGAAGAAATCCTTGCACAATATCTGCAAGCGAATGTCATCTGGGCAAAACTCGGACTTGAGCAGGCAGGAACAGGGAAGAGAAGAAGGCCAGCCAGGGAGGAGGGGAAGCCTCTAAACAAGAGAAGGAAAGGAAAAAGGGAGGCTAGCCCACATGAACTTCAGCCACACAAGAAACTAGCCAGACCGGACCAAGGGAGAGAGGAAACGAATACGAAGGCTTGTACCCGGGTAATTTTGAGGCGGTGGCTCCAACATGACCCCACCTGTTATGATGAAGGAGGGAATCAGCAAGAAAGATTCTGTTACACTACAAGCAATATACCTTTCAAAGTTCAAGGGAACATAGCCATCTTTGAGCGATCTCAAATTGAAGAAAGCAAGACCGTGGATCCACCAATAGAATGGTTGGAAGCGTCACTGGACTCGGCTCCCTTCACATCTGCAACAAGGGAAGAGGACTGTAATAACCGAAGAGACTGCAATCAAAGCATCCATCTGCTGCTGGAAATAGTTAATGCATTGGACGACGGCGAAACAGAAGCTACAGCATGGTGGCAACAACTCGAGGAGGTAGTATCAGAGGTTCGCCAAGAAACAACACAACCATTGGCATACGAGTTTTTACAACATCTAGCAGAGATTACAGCATGCGACATCAGTACATTTCGTAACTGGCCTACCCTACACACACATCCCCAGGCTCTGGACAAGAAGAGAGCAAGGGAACTGCACAGAGTGGTGGTTTGGATGGACAAACAAAAGAGATTTCGTGAACAAATCCTGGATACAATACATGTCATTCTGATAGGATGGAAGAATAACATTGATGAGATACCAGAAGGTTTTGAAATTATCAGCCGGGTTCCGAAAGGCGCTCAAATAGCTTATGCAGCAAACTTCTGGCAATCAGGGAATAGGTGTTTGATGAAGACTGCAGAGGAGTTATGGATACTAGTTAGGCACACACTCCCAACATACTTACGAGTCCAGCTTCAGGACAACATCCTCCCAACGTATGAGGAGCTGTGTAACAGACGAAGGGATCAGATCCAGCCGTGCAGCGATCATCAAGGCGGAAGGCATTTCACAGCAGCTATTGAAGGAGACATCATGCAGGGCAGAAAAAACAGATCCATGCGAGTAGGATATGTTCTCCAACAAAAAGAGATGACGTCAGGAGGAGGGATGAAAATCAATGGGAAGTGCAGCATCATCCGAGCGAACACAATCGCAATCGGTTTACTTCTGCAACATGTCCTTGAGGAAGGAATACAGATCAAAAGGGGAAATCAAGTCACAATAATGTACCAGTCCACACGTTTCCACCGCTTTATGACAAATACGTTGCGAATGGATACCATGCGATACGAAGACGAACTGCTGGAGGACCTACATGATCGGTTACTCACTTGCATGAAGAAACTCGAAGGGAGGGGAATCAGGATCCGACTCCAACTAGCAAAAGAATCTCATAGAAACATTCAAGAGGCAAAGGAAATGGCCAAGCAAGGGAAACAAACCTTTGCCTCGGGATGGGAGAAAGCAATCTACGATAGTCCAATGGAATTCATCATTGCAGGAGAAGAAAATCCTACATCAGGATTCGATCGCTTGAAGAAATGGGACTACATTATCAGACAACAGACAATGGTGGCAAGGATTCGAGCGGGAGACCTCACCTTGACAGAGAAATTCATGCTCGAAATGCATGTGGGAAGAGATTTACTAGGGAGAGGGTTCAAACAATGCGAAGGGTCAGTTACGCGAACAGCTATCCAAGCGATCACCTTCTCAGCACCGACGAGGAAGAAGCTCTTTCAATGGGGGAAGACTAACTCACCATGTTGTCCTCACTGTCCAGACCGAGAAGAAACCTGGGGTCATGTTCAGCTAGCGTGCAAGCAGTTCCAAGATATGATTCAAAAAGCACACAATGAAGTCATGAAGAAGATCAAGGTAAGACTGCAGCAGAGTTGGAGGAAACAAAGGGTACAGGTCAATTCATGGTGGGACACTCCAATACGCATCGTGATGGAAGCGATGGGGACTTCAATGCACCGAGAAGGGCACTGGATACCTGACGGTTGCTGCTACTTTGCAAGCATCAAACGCATTGTCCTCATCGAATTTGCAAGGACATCGGAATATGACGGAGTCGAACAAACAAGCCTGGAATGCCTGAAGAAGAAATTTCAGGAAAAGGAAGAGAAATATGCCCCCCTACGAGCAGAAATCACAGCTTTGCTACCTGACCATGAAGTTGAACAAGCAACATTCATAGCAGGAGTGAAAGGATCGATCATGGAAAGGGAATGGCATGAGAATTTCAGGGTGCTAAGGGTGGAAGACACGGAATGGGAAGGCATCAAGACAGCAGCAATCAAGCAACTGCTGGTGGTGCAACACATGCTATGGACGGCAAGAAGGGGAAGCGAGTCGACCTAGTCCGATGGAGGGCAGGCGCGGCTCATGGGCAAGCCACCTATGGA